AAAAAAAAAAAAAGAAAAGAAAAGAAAAGAAAGATATCATGCTTGGTAAAGTAGAGTGTCAGCATAAAAGAAGAAGGCGCTTAACAAGATGGATTGGCACAGTGGCTGCAGCGATGGGCTCAGGTAGAGCAGGGACCGTGAGGCTGCCACAGGACCGGGCAGTGTTTCATTCTGCTGTACAACAGGTTGCTATGAGTCAGGGATGACTTGATGGCATGTAACAACAACAACATATATATACAAAGTCAGAAAACGACATTTCAAACTATACTGGAAGGAAAGCGAGAGCTGAAACTTGTGCTGGAGGCGGCACTAAGGGTCCGCTTGGCCTGAGTGCTACACCGTCAGCTTTCACTGTAGAAATTCGTTAGCAAATGTTTAAATCTGAAAAATCAGGAGAAAGCAGGATGAGTTCTTTACTTGGAAATATGGAGGCAAGAAGCAAAGGCTACAGCTACAAAGGCTGGAAGCGGGGAACGTTTTCACCCCGGGGAGGGAATGGGATTGAGGGTGAGAAGGGGCGGGGAGAAAGGCAGCTGTTCGGAGTCTTCTACAACTTGGACTCTCCAGGCTACGGGCAAGCACTTCACTGACAGAAGTAAGACACTGCGAGATGGAAACAGGTTAATTTTAAAAAGAAAAAAGGAAGCACAGGTCGGACTCGTTCTCCAAGGCACTGGCCAACACGGACATTCTCTGGGGCTCCCACGCTGCGAGTGGTCATTCTCAAAAGGTCACACCTTCTCAGTGTTGCTGGGTCACGAATGAATGTTGAAACCGTTCAAAGCCAGAGCCACACGGTCACACAGCCCCCAGTCTCCCGTCTCTGAGCCCAGAGGGCCTGGGGCTGTTCAGAGGGCCCCTGGGGTAACGTGCTCACTGGGCAGTGAGAGGGGAGCTGGGACAGAAGGAGGGGGCTATGGGGGGGGAGACACAGTCCCTTCAAGACCCTGGGACACTGCAGAATTTCACAAGTGGGAGCTTGCCCCTCACACCCTGTGCTGGGCAAGGAGGGGCCTGGGTGGAACTGACCCGCCCAGACCAGCCCGCCATCTTGAAAAGGAAGTTATACCTCACCAAACCCTCATGTGGGAGCTCTGGTAGAGTAGTGCCTAAGGTGCCTGACTGCTAACCAGAAGGCTGGTGGTTCAAACCC